AAAGCAGATAATTGAAATCAGTCAGAAAAATAGGTCTCATAAAGGAGCCTCTAGCCTTTATTAATTCTTGACGAGTCTTAGTGGGCTATCCAGCATTTTCTCCATAGGGATGTACTCAGGTCAACATCCATAGGTGGCTGAACAGTGGAAGCACATATCTTCCCCATCACGACAACGGTTTAAGTGTTAAGCGGCAAAATGCAGTCCATCCATTTGCTACTGACACTAAAGCACTTAAATTAGCATTTGTAGTAGAGGCAGAATTTGCCAGAATAAACATCAGGTGAGCCAATGTGAAGGCAAGTGAAGAGATTGACGGCCGGGTGGATTAGTAAACAAATGCAAATGGATGAACAGGCAGAATCGACGCGACTAATCAGCCTGACAGGCGAATTAAGGATACGGGCTTATGAAGTAGTAGGTAAACAGAAGGTAGTTATGAAATGTTGTGTAAACGTTTTTGAGTTATCTACAATGGAGTTTACCCTCTATGTCTGGCATGCCTCGAAAAGTTATCATTGGGTAATTAATGTAAGTAATTTGATCAGTTGTCGGAAAATGAAAATGAAAATGAAGATTTATCATGGCTACGCATTTACAGTGGCTTCTTCTGAGTAGGAGACTTACTACAGCTCCACAAACTGATCTTGCTACTTGAAGATCACCACATGCCTCATCATCCATGGGACGTCAAAGAAAAGAAAGACTAGCTTTTAGTAAACACAAATCTCGTAATGAAGCGGTCGTCATCGGTTCTCGATATTGTTGAGGTGGATTCGGAAGCTGCGCTGTTCTGCTGTCTGCTCTCCGTTTGAACTGCCTTTACTTAGTCGACTAGTTTCAAGAAAATAAAGGCCCAGAGGGAGTCGTAATCACCAAATCTGTTAGGCTCGTAGCTGTCTTACTTGTAACAAACGCAAACCACTCGAAGCACTTCCTCTCACACCATCATTTTGGCTTTGAAGGTGTTAGAAGAAGAAAAGTCATGAGACGATGGCAATGACATAGCTCCTGCTTCAATAATAGATGGTGCTCTACAAATTAATGAAAGGTACTAGTCGATGGTGAATAAAAAACTAATCTGGAACAAAATTTTATCGCCTTCACCCACCGTCTACAAATAGTGCGAAGGAAGTAAAATAGAGGACACTAGTGCATCTTTCAAGCTTCACTGACTCGTACTAGGTAAATTCCACTTGTAGCATCTGGTACTGCAAGATTCTCTTTAAGCAGCCGCTTTCAGACAGATTAGCATAGCTTTTCAAAAACTGTTTTACCTGGACTAGAAATCCTTTAATCGCACTTTCATCAGCTTTAGACGACATCAGATCGGGGACACGAATGATGGCCTCTTCCTGCTGCTCTATCACTATGCCCATGTAGAATTTATGAACCAGTTCTGCAGCCTCACTATGGTGGAAGATATGGCATAAGTTAGGACTGAACATAGAGAATAAATGCCCGTTCGCAGTGCCAAACATCTCAAGATTAGGAGAAGGCTGAAATGTAGAGGTAAAAAGAGAACTTTATACTTACAGAAGGCCCGGGTGACTACCCAGGCAAACGACTTAAATGACATGGCGTGTTAGGATGATAAAATTTGGTAAATGGAGTTTTCAAGGAACTGCATAGGGCTTGCAAGGGTGCCTTACTAAACTCGCCTCCAAACACTCAGTGTAAAGACAATGCTCCTGAAAGTTCCTCTCGCTATTAAAATACGATTTGCGACATCCCTTTCATCATAACGGCCACTGCTGGACACTTGTCGTCAACGAGGAGGGACAACTTGTCATGTGTTTGTGCAAAGGTAAAAGCAAGCTGGTGAGGTTACGCTAACTGCTAAAGTGCTAACGTAAAGCAGGTGAATGCAAAAGTCACCCTTGGACACAGATGCGATGCCTACACCGGCGAAGAAGTAAAGAGTACTAACCTCTTTGCAGCTCACATAGCTCCCCACTTTTAAAGAGTTCTTTACCAGCGCCTTGTGACAAGTTTTCCATCCACGTAGGCGCATCAAATGTGGGACAGGAAGATGATATCCCCTTGTAAACTTCAACATCTGGTAGACACAATGATCTGCGAGTGATATCTAAATGTGTGCCTTCTTGCGAGCTCCAAGTAAAGGGCTAAAAGTGAGAGAAAGATGTCACTTAAGTGGTAGTGTCTGTAATTAAATTGTGATGCATACACTTACACCCATTCACAAAAACATTTCACGATATGAAAAGACCGCCATTTTCATTGCGTCCTCCGCCCTGCCTTTAGTGTCATGGG